ACCCACAATTTGTTATGATCCACACAATCATATGCCTTTGCATAGTCAATAAAACACAAGTAAACATCTTTCTGGTATTCTTTGCATTGAGCCAAGATCCATCTGACAACAGCTATGATATCCCTTGCTCCACATCCTCTTCTGAATCCAGCCAGCACTTCTGGAATTTCTCTGTCAATATACTGCTGCAACCGTTTTTGAATTATCTTCAGTAAGATCTTACTTGTATGAGATATTAATGATATTATTCACTAATTTCCACATTCTGTGGGATCACATTTCTTTGGAATGGGTACAAATATGGATCTCTTCCAGTCAGTTGGCCAAGTAGCTGTCTTCCAAATCTCTTGGCATAACTGAGTGAGTTCCTCCAGTGGGGCATCCTTTTGTTGAAATATCTCAATGGTATTCCGTCAGCTACTGGAGCCTTGTTCTTTGCCAATTCCTTCATTGCAGCTTTGACTTCCTCCTTCAGTACCATTGGTTCTTGATCATATGCCACTTCCTGAAATGGATGAAGATCTACCAGTTCTTTTTGGTACAGGGACTCTGTGTGTTCCTTTCATCTTCCTTTGATGTTTCCTGCATCATTCAATATTTTGCCCATAGAATATTTCAATATTGCAATTTGACGCTTAAATTTTTTCTTTAGTTCTTTCAGCTTGAGAAATGTTGAGTGTGTTCTTCTTTTTTGGTTTTCTAACTCCAGGTCTTTGCATATTTCATTATAGTAATTGGCTTTGGCTGCTTGAGCTGCTCTTTGAAATCTTCTATTCAGCTCTTTTATCTTGTCATTTTTTCCATTTGTTTTAGCTACTCTCCATTCAAGGGCAAGTTTCAGAGTCTCTTCTGTCATCCATTTTGTTTTTCTCTTCTTTTCTCGTCTTTTTAGTGACCTCTTGCTTCTTCATGTATGACCTTCTTGATGTCATCCCACAATTCTTCTGGTTTTTGGTCATTGGTGTTCAATGCACCAAATCTATTCTTTAGATGGTCTCTAAATTCAGGAGGCATATATTCAATCATATTTTGGCTCTCATGGACTTTTTAAAATTGTCTTTAAGTTGAACTTGCATATGAGCAGTTGATGGTCTGTTCACGATCAGCTCCTGGCCTGGTTTTGGCTGAAGATA